TGCACACCAAGCTGTAGACGGACAGTTTCTATTTTCTAATTTGACAGGCGTGCGAAGAGAAAATGAGAGAATATTTGCTCTCTGTTGACATTTCGTTCATAAATTCAAATCAAACGGCTTTTGATTTATTGTGCATACGTTTCCAAATATATTTATTTTATTTATTTAAAACAATGGATTCCGATGAAATTTTAATTAGCGAAGTGCAAAAATATCCATTTTTGTACAACCTTAAGGATGAGGGGTATAAAAATGCTCTGAAAAAGGAGGAAGTGTGGTTGCAGATAAGCGAAGTATTGGGCCAAGAAGGTAACGATTTGTTTTTTTAATTCTAAAGATTTTCACCGAGATATTATTTATTTCACAGCTAATGTATGTAAAAAGCGCTGGAAAGGTTTGCGCGACCATTATTCGCGGTGCAAACGGGCCGAGACTTTGCCATCAGGAAGCTCCGCTAGCAAGAGGACGAGATGGAGGTTCTATGACCAAATGTCATTTTTGGACAACTTCCAGTACTGCCGGAGGTGAATATAACTACATTTCTTATATACGAGTATATGTATATACATTCATATATGTATGCGTGCAAGTGATAAATCTGTATTTATATAAATTTTTTACTATTTTAAGAGCGTGGAGCAATGTTTCCGAAGTTGAGGAAAGTGTTATTGAAGTGCAGGGAGAAGAAGACGAAGTACACACAGCAACACCATGCCAATCGCGACGCAAACACGACATGGTATGTACGTTTATTGTTATAAGCAGGGAAGACAATTTTAATGATCATATAGTATAGTAAAGTTTTTTGTGCATATTTTTGTCTTCCCTAGTTATAAGTGTATATGTGCCAGAAATCTGAAAGATTATTTTTTCCTTAGATTGATGACGACTTTCGTTTTTTCCTAGAGTAAACTTCAAGTTCCCTGAAGGAAACGTGCGACACATTTGCTGCTACTGCAAATAGCATTACAATCGCAAATGCTAATAATGTGCCAAATTCTTCCGCGAGTATGTTTCAAGGAATTGCTCAAATCATTACGGCACACAAGTTTAACCCGCAGGAAGAAGCGACGTTGGTTGGAAAAATTACCACATATGCTTTGAACGAAATAGCAAAAATGCGAAAGGAAAATTAAATTTATTACATCGAAATCATATATAATTAGTGAGTATGTATATTAAAATAGAAAATGTTGCTAGTATCAGCTATGTACTTATCTTACTTCATACTAATATTATAAATGTGAAAGTTTGTATGTTTGGATGTTTGGGAAATCATCACGCGGAAACGACTGAACGAATTTGCATGAAATTTTGTACGCAGATAGCTTATGGGCCAGATTGGTTAATAGGCTATCCTTTTTAGAGTTGCCACCTGTTAAAAAAGTTTAATTTATTTAATATGCGGGAACGACTGAATGGATTTGCATGAAAATTTGCACAGATAGCTTATGATCTACAGTGGAAAATAGGCTAATTTTTTGGAAGAGTTGCCACCTGTTAAAAAAGTTTAAATAAATTAATACGCGGACACGACTAAACGGATTTGCATGAAATTTTGCACACAGATATATTATGACCTAGGTTAGAAAGTAGGCTATTTTTTTAGGAGTTGCCACCTGTTAGAAATGTATAATTTAATTAATACGCGGAAACGAGTGAACTGATTTGCATGGAAGTTTTCACACAGATAGCTTATGAGCTAGGTTGAAAAATAGGCTACTCTTTTTAAGAGTTACCACCTGCTAAAAAAGTTTAATTAAATTAATACGCGGAAAAGTTTTAACGGATTTGCATGAAATTTTGCAAGCGGACAGCTTATGACCTACAGTGGAAAATAGGCTAATTTTTTGGAAGAGTTGTCACCTGTTAAAAAAGTTTTAATTAAATTAATACGCGGAAACGACTGAACAGATTTGCATTACATTTGGCACAGAGATAGCTTATGACCTATGTTGGAAAATAGGCTACTATTTTAAGAGTTATCACGTATTAGGAAAGTATAATTAAATTAATACGCGTAAATGACCGAACTGATTTGCATGAAAGTTTGCACACAGATAGCTTATGACCTAGACTGGAAAATAGGCTACTTTTTTAAGAATTGCCACCTGTTTGAAAATGAAATTTTGCTCAAAGATGGTTTATGAGCTGGATTGAAAAACAGGCTACTTCCTTAACCGGTTTTCCGATCAGAACGAAATTTAGCACACTTACTACGGATTTCGGAAGGATGGTCTTAGATGAAAGTAAGGCCCCTCCCATACAAATTGGAATTTTCATATTACATACATATCTCTGGAAGTATTTGTGGGAGAGTTCACTTGGTATAGTGATATCTACGTGAAATCAAAGTTGGCATTAATCGATTGATGTTTTACCCAGTTAGTTAATTCGATTAAATTCAATCTGATTAGAGTTAATCATGATTAATTTTAATCTGACTAAACAGTTAATCGTAACCGCGATTAAAAAATTAATTTTTAATCATTAACTCTTAATTCGATCAAGTAGGTTTGGTGATTAATTAAGTTATGCTGGAATTTCCCTGTGCACACAAACCAAGTTAATCCGGCATGGCTAAGTCGGGTTTCCTTATCCATCTAAGCAATTTGGTGTGCATTTTCATTAAGATATATACCAACAAACGTTTTAAAAACTAGGTTTGTAAAAGTTCCCAGTTTATGTATTACGTTGTATTATGTATGTATGTTGTTTTTATAAGCGTAAAACACAAAATAATTATTATAACTGGTGTTTGGTTTCAAACTCGGACAAACTAGACAAATTAATCAGATTTTATTTTTAATTGGATTAACTATTAATGTTTTAAATTAATTAAACGTAATCGCAGCCAGCGATTAACGATTCAAAAAATGTTATCATTAATCGTACAGTTGATAACGACTAATTAATTTTAATCGTCAAACGCGATTAACATTTTAATCGTTAATCAGATTAACAGTATTCCAACACTGTGTGAAATCATGTTCATATTCACGGAGAAAAATCGAGGTTTTTGGAAAAGAGGCGTAGCACCTCCCATACTGACTGAAAGTTTCATATTGCATATCCCTTCAAATGTTTGGGGTAAAGTACTCAAGGTTGGTATGGAAATACATATGTATGTATGTATGTGAAACTAATACCTTACTCATGGAGAAAAATGAGAGTTATTGGAAAAGGTGATGTGGCAACTCCCATGCATATTGATTTTTCTATGCCGCATATCTCTGGAGCTGTTTATTGCAGAGGACGGGAGCTTGGCATCGAGATGTGTATACAAAATTAATTCCATACTCATGGAGAAAAATTTGCGTTATTCGAAAAGGGGGCATGGTACCTCCCGTACAAATTTACTTTTATACTGCATATCTCTAGAGGTGTTCATGGTAGAGTACTGCACTTGGTACTGGGGTATGTAAAATCAATTCTAAATTCATGAAAGAAGATTAGGGTTATAAGAAAAAGGGGCGTGGCACTTTCTGTGCAAATTGACTTTTTCTTGCCACATATCCCTGGGAGTGTTTGTGGAAGAATACTGGAACTTGGTATGGAGTTGTGTATACAAAATGTTTCAATTGCTCATGGAAAAAATGTGAGATATTAAAAAAGGAGGCATGTCGCCTCCCATACATACTAAACATTTCTTAATACATATCTCTGGAAGGATAGAAAATCTTTGGAAGTATTTTAAATTTGTTATGGAGGTTTATTTTATAAGTGCCGTACTGATAGAAAACAATTCATTTAATGGAAAAGGGAGAGCCGGGTTCGTCCTTACAATCTAAAGCTCTCTTGAGGCATTTGCTACAGTAATGAGAAGTAGTATTTTGGCCCTTATTATGAGCTGCATTCGATTTTCGATCTTCGCTGGCTATCGAAGATCGAAGATCGAAAGTGAAATTCGTATTATGAGCTATGCAAGCGTGTCGAAAGTTTCGTTGAGTATCGAATTTTCTGTCGAACAGAATTTTGCTTTCGATGGTGTAGTGAAGTGTTAGAAAATTGTGAAAAATGTATGATTTTGTATATGTTTTCTTACATTTTGGTGGCTAGACACTAATTTTAAACAATTTTTATTAATTTCATGCAGTTCTAACATCGTGAATACTAAACACAAACTCGAAAGGCTGGTTTTACTTGTGAAAGAAAAACCCAATACTGTTGGCACGATCTCTGAGAACAAAATCGTAGCGTTGTTGATAGTTTTAAGATATTTTAAATAGATATGGCTCACAAACGCCACTTTAGATGGTCGGAACTTTTTAATGAATCTGTAGACAAATTTCTTAAATATATTTTATATCAAAATATATTCGAAAGACTAATAAACTTAAACTCTCTTAAA